CAAATGTTGGTAAGCCACAGTTATGCCATGGGTAATGACGAAATTGATTTCCAGGTGCAACACTTGTTGGACTGTCATTCACAGGGACCATTGCCTGCGGGGCCCATTCGACATTTCATCACTGTTTCACCCGACATACTTGATGAGTGGTTACATGGCGCCTCCGCTCGCCTTGATGAATGGAAGGCACAAGTTTGGAACACATCTCCAGGCCCACAACACGTGATTGCCGTGGTCCTTCTCCACCAGCACTGGATCCCGTTTTGGATTGCTCCAGTAGGTAACACAGCTCAGTGTCACACTCTGGGTGACTTTGCCCAGGATGATCTCGAGGTGGAACAAATTTTGCGTGCGCTTTCTTCCTTTTTGGATTTCCAGGATGTTGTGATTCATCGAGTGCCACATGGGATTGAAGTGCCCCGCCTGTGCGGTGCCATGTCGATCTGTTTTTTGGCCCACATTCTGCTCAACACCAGTTGGCCCAGGGATGTTGATCAGTTGCGAGCACGATGTTGGGACATGAAGATGATTTTTGCTGAAGCCATCCAAACGGGAACTCCCACCACCCCTACTCTGTGGGGATGGGGAATTTCAGGGGAATCCAGGCTACTCCCTAGAATGCCTGACGAATTTGCCTCCTACGCTGTTTCACAGGTCATGGATTTGGAAGATCACGGACTTCACAACAGGTTTGGAACTGATATCGCTCAGGTTCACTTTTGGGGAATGGGACATCATGAAATGAAGTTCCACCTGGACACTCTCGTCAACCAGCCATTGTCCCCGCCACTGACCATGGTTTTGCATGACATGGGTAGACTCACTTCCATGATTGCTCAACAATTCTGTTCAGTTCATGCCTGCGGTGGTATTGCTTTCTTGTTTGAATGGCATTGGTATCCAATTGTCCTGCTCCGATTTGGTTGCCAGAAGATTGTCGTCATGGAACCCGGTTTGATTGCGCAATATGTGTTGCAACATACCGAAGACATTTGCCTGCTTCCGATGACCCCGCCTTCTGCGGATTTATGTGGTGTCTACACGTGGCAGGTTTTGGCAGCTCTTTGTGGTTTCACCACTGAGAATCTCCTCATGGCTGACCTTAGGATTTGCCTCCAAACTTGGTACGCTGATGCAGATGATCATCCCAACAGTGCAACTCCCACATGTTGGGGTTTTGGAGCACATGGTACTTTGGTGAAAAACTTGGCCCAAGAACTCCTGAAACACGGGATTCCCGAAAATGCAGTTGAAGAAAGGGCTGTTTCGGCCATCAAAGCATTGGGTAGCGAACAGATCTTACAGGCATTGGCCCACCGACAATCATGGAAACAACTGAAAATGTTAGGAAATAACTCAAAGTTTCAGTTCGTTTTGCCAAGTGAGTTGGCCAAAGCTGTTGAAAACAACAAGGGGAAGCCCATTGGCCCCAAGGGAAAAGGTAAGGGACCAAGAAACCAGCCTGCTCCTGCCGAGCTCGACCCCGCAAAGCTTTTGATTTTGGATGGATCGTTTCACTGCCAGGGTCACGTCATGCAACAATTGACCATGAAGCAGATAGGACCAGTCAGTAGTGGCGTCATCCTCATGTCGTTGAACGATGCCGAGCCGTACCTCCGTGCGGGGGTTGCTGTTTCACGTGAGCCACTTGCTCTCCTGGTGCTGCATAGGGCAGGGGCCGAAGTGCACACCGCCTTGCCTCATTCCCAAGTCACGGTGCCTTGCCGATGCACAGTCAATAATGAACCAGTGTTAGCAGCGGTAGTCATGGTGCAACTTGGTGCTGGCTTCGTGGAAAAAGCGAATGGGCCCACCCTGGTGTCCATCGACACCCCAGAAGTGGTCACTCTCAAAGTGTTGGTGTACAAAGATGAATTGCCGGGGGATTGGAATGAGTTCTGTAGCTCCCCCATTCGTTGCTTGGTTTCACTCTTGCCAAAACTCAAGAGATGCATGGAGGAAACGTGTACGTGCCCGGCTTGGCACAACACTGAGAAGTTGCCACTGAGGGATCCAATCCTCGACGTGTGGCGCCGCCAATTTCTCCGATCAGGATTTAAGCCTTGCCCCGCCAGTAAAGCGGATATGTTTTCTGTGTGCATCCGTATTCCTATGGCTATTTTGGAAGCCATGCTGAACGCCAGTGGAACATCCGGAGCATATTGTGAGCCAAGAACAGCCGATGGTACTGAGATTCTCTCGGCATACACTGTTGTTTGGACCACAAGACATTCACTGCAAGAGATGCAACACCTGATGCAAACTAACCCTGCGGTTACAGGTTTGGCTAGATTGGGAGAACGTCGTGGACTGAGAGTGCACACAACGCAGGCTAAGGCCATTCACCAACTTGTCAGACCAGACACGGTTTTCTTCCCAAATGGACCCAAGAATTTGTTCACCGTAGGTCCTTTTCCGTACGGTGTTGACCGGCAGGCCGTCGCCAAAGTCTTGCGAACTGCAGGGTGGGAATGTCGCCCTTTACAGCCAACCAACCCTTGCCCCGGCAGAGGAGTCATGTGGACAGTGCAGGCTACAGTGGATCCAGAAAACGCCATTGTGGCGACCACCAGTGGTGAGATTGTCATCACGAAGCAGAAACATGACCAAGTGACGCCATCACCAGCACCCACCACCGTGGGTTCAGCAGACACGCTGGCGCTTTGTGGCACGGTTTCACAGCCAAAGCAAGTTGACGGTGATCCATGGGTACATTCTGATCCGTGGCGATCATACCACACCTCAGGGACCAAAGCAATTGCCACTGCCCCTACTGAGGGAATGCAACAGATCGAAGAGCGCATCCAATCCGCCGTATTGGCCAAAATGCAGGTCCCGATGGAAGATGACCTCCCAGATCGTGTTCAGACTTTGGAGGGGCAGGTGCACCAACTTTTGGCAAAACAACAAGGGCTTGAGTCACAGTTTCACGAGTACAGTGGGCAGCATACCCAACAGATCCATGCACTGCAGACCCAGGTGACGGCACAGGCACAACAGCTCCATGGGCACCTGGAAAATCAAAATCAGAATATGCAGTCACTTTTCGAACAGCAGATGCAGCAAATCAGGGGTTTGTTGGCCAAGCGGCCAAGGGATGAAGGCTTGGAATGACAGCCAGGCCGTGGATTTGGTCTTGCCATGCTCGGTTTTTGTCTCACACTTGCAGGAGTTTGGCTCCGCGATCAAATCCTGGGCCTCATCATGTTGGTCTTAGTTTTCAGTGGGGTTGGTGCCGTGTGCAGCTCTGCATCTTTTAGATGTACTAGTTCCTGGCCTTACATTGTTGCCCTCACCCTTATGTGCAGAATGGGTGAAGCTACTAATCCTGGCCCGAATGAATCCAATTTTGTTCTGGGGGCGTTTAACCCATCTGGGTTAAAAGGGAAAGCCCCTTACATTGTTTCACAGTTAGCTCAAGGGGACATTTGGGCTATCTCTGAGACCCATTTGTGCGGTCAATCACTCCAACAGTTCCGAGCAGGCCTGCATTTTGCAAAGAGCCCACACAGATATTGCATCAGTGGACACCCAGTCCCTTCCCAGCATAGCCGAAAGTTTCACGCTGCTTGGCGAGGAGTTGCAGTTCTCTCCAAATTCCCGTCACGCGAGGTACCAACCAATTTGCCTCGTGAGATCAAAGAATCTGCCAGAACCCTGATCACGACCACGCTGGTCAATGATTATTGGGTCACTGGGGGTGTGGTTTATGGTGAACCTGAGAGTAGTTCTTACCCCCAACAAAAACTCCATAACGAGGAATTGTTACATCATGTTGCCAGCCAAGTCTGTCACCTGACAAAAGGTCCTCGGTTCCTGGCCGGTGATTGGAACTGCGAACAGCATTCTCTTCCTGTGTTTGACCTCCTTGAAGCTGCCGGTTTTAGGGATTTGCAAGATTTGGCTTTTGACATGTGGGGACAGCCAGTCGCCCACACTTGCAAGCATGCCACTAGAAAGGACTTTTGCTATGTCTCGCGTGAAATGCAACACCTGCTTTGCTCTGTTTCACTTTTACATGACGTTTTCCCGGATCATGCGGTTTTGATGGGTGAGTTTGCTTCCTTGAAGCAATCGGTTCCACGCCAAATTTGGGTCTCACCTGGGGAATTGCCATGGCCTCTTTCATGGGAAGTCGACCCCAACTTTTGGGGAAATTCATCAGGCACTGCTGAGCACAGGTATCATGCACTGTGGCGGCACATTGAAACACAAGCCTGTCAAGCCTTGCCTTTTCCTGTCGATCCTCGTGTGGTGGGTCGGGCTTCAATCCATGCGGTGAAAAAGTCGCAAGATGGTAAAATACCACCCCCAAAGAAAGCACGCAGTGGTGACGTTCACCCCCACTATGTGTGTGTGCATCATTTCGCCATGCCCAATGGCTTCGGCAATTGCGCCGATTGCAAGCCTACATGAGACATGTTGCTGCCCAACATCAACATACTGAATATGCCAAACAACTGTGGGGATCAATTTTGAGGTCCACGGGTTTCACTCCTTCGTTTGCTGATTGGTGGCCCAATAGTGGTTTCCATACTTTGAATTCCCCTGCCAGAATCCCATATGCACCACCAGGCTTGGATGATGCCCAGCGCATATTTGACTCATTTGCTTTAGCTTTCCGGGCATTTGAGCTAGAGCTCCAGCAGTCTTCTCGTATGTTTGCTAGACTCAAAAGAGAGGCGAACCCTAATGCCATTTTCCAGGATTTGAAAGATCGTCAGACAAAGGACGTCAATGTCATCTTGAAACCTGTGGTTGCAAAGGTAGAACATGTGAATCATGCTGACCAGGCGTTGGTGTTCGAGTCTCCTGTTTGTTTTGATCTTGGCAAACCCGTGTTTTGCAATGGTGTTGAGCTGGACATCATACATGCTGAAGCGGATGCAGCATGGATTGCCGATGTAGGGGAAGTTACAGTTGGCTCCACTGTCACTCAACTGTGCTGCAAGGGCACTGACGAAGAGCTGTTTTCTCTTTTCCTAGGGGCTTGGAAAACAATGTGGGAGAGGCATGGCGAAGTTCCACCTGAGCGCTGGGACACCATCCTTACCTTTGCCAGAGAGAAACTGCCGCGACAACAGTTGCATTGGCCAGCCATCGGTCGTGAAGCCCTGTCTGCTAGCATAGCCCATAAGCATAAGCATACCACTGGAGGCCTCGATGGAGTTTCACTCCAGGACCTGAAAGCAATGCCGCCTGCAGCGCTTGACAATTTCCTAGCCATGTTTCACCACGCAGAAAGCACTGGGTCATGGCCACCACAATTGGTTGCAGGTAGGGTAACGTGCTTGGCTAAAACTGCTAACCCCCTGGGGGCCCTGGACTTTCGACCCATTACGGTGTTTGGCTTATTGTATCGTTGCTGGGGTACCTACCAAGCACGACAAGCAATCCGAATGCTTGACTCCGTCCTCCCGGTTGGCCTCTATGGTAGTAGACCCAACTGCTATTCAGGGCAGGTTTGGTCCCACATGCTCTGGACCATAGAGATGGCGTATGAAAACCAGACGGATTTGTGCGGCATCATTGCCGACATACAAAAGGCTTTTAATTTCTTACCCAGGATTGTGGTCCTTGAAGCTTGTGCGATTCTTGGCTTGCCTTTTCAGGTTTTATGTGGTTGGGCTGGCGCATTATCTGAGATGACGCGCCGTTTTCAAATCAATGGCAGTTTCAGTCCACCTGCTAGGAGCAATTGTGGCTTGCCCGAGGGATGTGCCTTATCATGTGTTGGTATGATGGTGGTGGACATTCTTTTCCATGAGTGGATGGTTCATTTCTTTCCTCTTTGCCAGCCACTTTCCTATGTCGACGATTGGCAAGTGATTGTAGCCGACCCCCAAAGCCTTAGCAACGTATATCAGTGCTTGGAACGTTTCACCCAGGTGATGGACCTCTTGTTGGACCAAAAGAAGACACATGTCTGGTCCATTAGTGCTGCAGGTCGCAAGCAGATCCGTGCACAAGGATTTGGAACGGTTGCTTTTGGTAAGAGTTTGGGCGCTCACATCCAGTTCACCCGGCAGCACACCAATAGCTGCTTGATGGAGAGAGTCCAGAAGGCCACTCCGTTGTGGACCAAGTTGAGATTGTCGTCATGCCCCTACCCCCAGAAAGTGCGCGCACTTAAATCTGCGGCATGGCCTCGTTGCCTCCACGCTGTGGCAGCCACCACGGTTAGCCAACAAACGTTCACCTCACTGCGTGCAGGTGCAATGAAAGGGCTTCGTGCCGATGGTGCAGGGGCCAACCCGCTGGTCCACTTAGGCTTAGTCGAAGTACCCAGTGTTGATCCCCTGTGTTGGCCAGTCATGCAGACCCTGCGCTTAGCCAGAGATTGCGGTGCTCGTTCCAGAGTTGAAGGTTTGCTCGCCACGTTGGCCAATGGAACGAGCGGTCTTCCGGCTAATAGCATTACTTCTACTCTCCTTGCTCGCATTCAGGTTTTGGGGTGGCATGTTGATGAAAATGGGATGGTACATGACATGTTTGGGCCCTTTTCCATTTTTGCGATTTCTGCCGCTGAGTTGCAATATCGGGTTGAGTTTCATTGGCCTTTGCTGGTTCAGACAGGAACCTCACATCGTTCATGCTTCAACGGGTTAGATGCGACCGACCCGGGTGACACCCGAAAATGGTTGACTACCCTGGATCGGTCCGATCAGGCTCTGTTTAGGCTGGTTCTCAACGGAACACACATTACTCAAGATGGGAAACACTATTGTCAGGAGGTGATGGAAGACACGTGTCCTTTCTGTGATTGCAGTGACAGCAGGTTTCACAGGTTTTGGATTTGCGAAAGGTTTGAACACCTCCGTTCCCAGGTTCCTGATGACGTCCGTAGTGCCAGTGTTGATTTGCCTGAGGCCTTGACAGTTTCGGGATGGTCTTTAATGCCGACGACCATGGTGGAATGGAACCAATATTTTGCGGGGCTTTCGCACAGCGGTCCCCTGATGTTTCACCACGATGGGGATGTGGACCTTTTCACTGATGGCAGTTGCCAGAACCAGCATTGCCACAAGTCGCGTTTTGCAGGATGGGCCATTGTTTTCGCCTCCACCTCTGCTGTGCATGACTACACCGGTAGTCAGGTCATTGATGCAGGAGTTTTGCCTGGAATTCTCCAGAGTGCCGTACGTGCAGAAATTTTTGCGGTCCTTCAAGCACTCAAGCTCACGGTACGCCATAAGGGTACTGTACGGCTGTGGTCAGACTGTGACAGTGTGGTGCGTAGGGTGACGAAACTGTTGCAGGGGGCGTCTGTCAAACCTAACGCCTCCCACTCTGACTTGTGGAATGAAATTGCGCAATGCCTACAAGACAGAGCTGGAGCTACAGTTATTACACATGTTGCCGCGCATCAACATGAACACAATGCCGGAGGTGTGTTGTTTGAATGGTGCTTCCGCCATAATGCACTGGTTGATAAACACGCCGTGCGGGCTAACTGGTCACGGCCTACAGAGTTTTGGGAACTACATGACAGACATGTATTGGCCATCTCGAGGCTTACCCGCCTGTGTAGGATTGTGCAGAACTTGCAGTTGGAGATCAGTAAAGCGGTAGTGCAATTTGATTCACCAACTCAGATTGACACCGCGCCTGAGGATGCTGTTTCACCTCCTGCTAGGCCCTGGACGCCGTTGCCGCCTTTGCATATTCCTGGGGGAGCCACCCGATGGTATGGTGATCACATTGTTCGACTCATCTTGAGCTGGTTTTGGCAGACTCTCCACCAGAGTCAGGATGAAGTGATTTGGATCTCACATTTCCAACTCTATATTGATTTTATGTGTTGCACCGGTCACCCAGGCCCTGTACACTTGACCACTTGGCAGGATGGAGAGGTTTTACCAAGGGTTCAGTTATTGGGTTTGGCTTTTCGCCAGCGAGCACGGTGGTTTGCAAAAGTTTGGAAGCAGTGTCTGAAGCATTGTGGAATCGAGATTGAGTTCACATATGGTAAGCCTGTGTCACACATCATCCAGATGTACACAGGCTGTGCTGCTCTTCCTTGGCCCTCTGCCAGACTGAGGCTTATTGATGATTGGATGTTTCGATGTGCGGGCACTTCATTCAAGCGCCAATCGAAAGCCATTGATTCCCTACCTTTTGCCAACCAAGATCCAGGATTCCCAGTTGTGTTTCTCACCTCTTTAGGTACATGATCGCCCAAAGACGGGCAGTAGTCGTCTCAACTGCTGGCCGCATCAGAAAATGGGAAAATGGTGGTTTGGAACATTTTTTATTTTTCCATATATTGAATAATCATCCCAACTGACTTTCGTATTTTTCAGAGCGGTGGCTCAACCACCAACCAGTTGGGTTTTGCTTTTCATTTGTCGAAAGACGATTGTTCAGCCACAGCTGCTGCTTGGATGTGAGTTGTTTGTCCAAAAATCTGGGGATGGACCATGAGATGGAGATAGATGGAGTCTGCTTCTCCCAAGCTTTTTTAAAAACCACCAGGGATCCCCTTGGGATCCAGTATATTCCACCATCCACCAGCGTTCTGCTGCAGGGTCTCTGATTGTTTATGGGAGGTGACTTGCTGGTGCCAACCTTCACGTAAAATGTGCAGAAATGACTCCAGGTATTGGTCAGTACCAAAAGGCAGTGGAATCCACTCGCTGAAAAACTGTGGAATCCACTCGCTTGTGGTCTCAAACAATCAACATCATTATACCGGTATTATATGTTATTCTAGTTAATAATCATTGGCATCGTCGATACCGCCGCCATCATCATGATCGGTAAATACATCGTCGTCGCCGTCGTCGTCATCATCATCATCATCAACGAAATGTCCATAGTCATCGTCATCATCACATGTGTTTGCTTCTTGTGCAGAACCACTATCTTGCTAAAATTTGTATATGTGTATGTGTATATGTACATGTATATATGTATATATGTATATATGTATATATGTATATATGTATATATGTATATATGTATATATGTATATATGTATATGAGTATATATGTATACATGTATATATATATATATGTATATATGTATACATGTATATAAATGTATATGTATATACATGTATATAAATGTATTTAAATGTATATAAATGTATACAACTGTATGTAAATGTATATAAATGTATATAACTGTATATAACTGTATGTATGTATATAACTGGATATAACTCTATATAACTGTAAATAACTGTATATAACTGTATAATACTGTATATAACTGTATATATGTATATAACTGTATATATGTATATAACTGTATATGTGTATATAACTGTTTATATGTATATAACTTTATATATATATATTAGAATATTATGCATTATTAATTTTCCTTGTATTGATTATTTGTATTGTTTATACATACACATATAGCAACCCCAAAAAAATCAGTTTGTGTTTCATCACTATTTCCTGACATGTTTACCGACTTTCGGGCCAGGGACAGCAGAGAAGTCTTCCGGACCTACGTGGGTCACCGCCTGGTGCAGGCGTCGTGCGATGTTTTGAGTGCCAGCGGAAATGAAGAGCTCACCAACAGTGGTGATTTTTCGAGATTTCATGGAATTTCATGCGATTTTGATGGTGACTATAATAGCAGAAACGGTAATACTACCAGCAGAATTTTGGATTTAAACATGAAATTAGGGATCTAAACAATGAAGAACGACTTTGGCTTTGTCCAATAATGGAGGATATCCATTTTGGAAAAATATGTTTCCTTCCTTCAGGGTGCGAACCATTTTCGGCCTTAAGTCCACATGAGTGCCAGTTCCGCTGGCCAAGTGACAATTTGGAACTGGGTACTGTAACGGACATTTTTGTTGTCATGATGGTGAAATATCATACACAGCCAAAGATTACAGGTGGATGGATTTATTTTTTGGAAATCATGAAATGATATTTTTGTATCCCAGGCCCTCTCAAAGCGTTGTAAAAATTGTTGGAGAGGTGCATCGACAAATGTGGCACAGCACAACATGATGGACACGTGACAAAACACAAAGTTTGGAGGCAAAATTTCACCATGATTTGGGTACCCCTAGCAACGCTCTCACGTTTCCACATCATGTGGTGCGTATTCCCTGGGAGTTGTTGGGATTGAACATGACAGAGGGTCCAGGACTTTAAGGGAGTTGCCGGTTCAATTTTTTTGTAGTTTTTCATGGTCGAAAAAACTGCCCTTCTTTGAAGAGAACCTTATTGTTGTCGGCAAATTTATAGAACGGAAATTGAGGATGGCAAGTATGTGAGGTTATCCTACAATACGCCTTTTTTCCACAACATCCGTTTCCCGCAAAAACCGGAAAATTGATCAAATTAGTTTTATTTTTATTCTTTTTTAAGGCCCTATAACCCCTTTGTGGCCCTTGTTTTTTCCACAATTGTTTCCCCCAATTTTCTAATATTTTTGGACCCGGTTTTAAAGTTGCGTGTTCTATGTATGACTATGTTTCCTAATGATTTTGTGAATGTACCCAAAAACTCCCACAATGATATGCCGGCCCAAGACTTGGGGCACTTTTGTCAGCCCCTCGCAGTATGTGGGCTTATCTGGGAAGGGTAAATGATGGTATATGCCTTCAAAGTATTTTTAAGTATGCATTAGATATCGTGTGATATATATATATATATATTATAATATTGATATAATATAATATAATATTGTAATATAATATAATATATAATATAATATAATATATAATATATAATATATAATATATAATATATAATATATAATATATAATATATAATATAATATAATATAATATAATATAATATATTATATATATTATACACTTGGGTATGTATGTACAAGTGGCAACATCCGTCGTACAACAGACATTACCAACTGACAATAGAACAGGCAAAATCTTGGAAGAGAGACTTTTGATGAGGATTATGACAAAATTACGAGTTATTGGTTAAATTACCGTAATTTTGTGGTAAACTCACAGGAGAGCTTTAGTAACATCACTGGAACGTGCATTCTTCACAGCAGGGTATCCTTTGATTTGCTTTCGTTTCCTTCGATTTCCTTTGGTTTCCTTTGATGTTCTTTGATTCTCTCTGGTTTGGGGCTGGGTGGATTCTACACTTTGGTTTCCTTTGGTTTCCTTTGGTTTCCTTTGATGTTCTTTGATTCTCTCTGGTTTGGGGCTGGGTGGATTCTACAGTTTTCCTTTGGTTTCCTTTGGTTCCTTTGATTTCCTTTGATTTTCTTTGGTTTGGGGCTGGTTGGATTCTATGGTTTTCCTTTGATTTCCTTTGTTTTCCTTTGGTTTTGTTTGGTTTCCAAGGGAGAAACAAAGGAAAACAAATCCTTAAGGAGGCTATAAGCTCACAGAATGCATCAATCATGCCTGTTACTAAGACTCTCTTTAGATAAACGGCCATAAACCTACCATTTGGGGATGGTTGTAGAACCCATTTATTCAATGGCCCATTTCAGGTACCTAAATTGAGGTACCTGCCATTTTTTGAGGCCTATTTTTTCAAGGGGAGATATGATCTTCAACATGGCTCCATGGCTCAAACGATGGAGATTCCGGTTGATTTTCGTGGTGATTTTGATGGCTAAACTGCCGCGGCCAGTGGGCCAGGTACGTGCGGATGTGAATCTGCTGCTGAGTGATCAGCTCGAACATGTCTTTCTGGACTTGGTTAGCCACTTGGTGACGAAGAACAAAAGCGGGGCTGCTTGTTTTTAGCCAAACATGGGAATTCTGGGGATTCTGATGTGTGGATATATAATGATATATATATATAATATATATAATTATATACATATGTATGTATGGAATAAACCGAACATATAAAGCTCTCTTTTCTGGGTTGCTGGTCTCAGCTATATGTTTTATGTTCCAAAAAGCTGCTGGGGGATTTGCTGCGGATGATTTTTTATTTTCCCAATGGAACATCCAATACTTGGGGAATCTATATAGGAATAGTTTTATTTTTTCTGAGTTCCTTAAGAAAATCCAAGTTTGGGGTGTATGTTTCATACAGACCCATGTAATTAGCCGATAAAGTTTCAAGCAATACGGTATGCAGTTTCTGCGGGATGACGGTGACAATACTAGCAGTGGGGTTTTTCAATGCCGCAGCTATTTCCAAGTGATTCGATGCCATCCCCGATGAAATAGTTGAATATTTACATATGTGTTCTCCTTATGTATATATATATATATTTGTACATACATACATACATAAATATATATATATACACATATGCACACATGTTGTATATACCTGTAAACATACTGATACTGTATACCATATACTGATGGACTATGCAGATGTATAATTTATCTGTGGTAATCTTGTACATGTTATATACAAGAATTTATTGTAATGCATTCTATATGTAGATAGATACATGTGTATGTACATATACATATAGATATATAAATCAATGTACTCACACACACACAGACACAGACACAGACACACACACAGATTGCAACCCCCAAAAGAATGCAAGTAAAGTAGACTCAGTAGACTGGCCCACTAGATTTTGATGGCAAACTTTTTCTTCTGCACTTATCATAATTGAAGACATCTATTTGGTTTTATGACAATGATATGAAAACTACAGATAGTTTGTAAGTTTCAGATATACCTGTAGATGTAAACATACCCTCCGTTATTTTAACATGTCCTTCGATGCACCCATAAAATAAACAGATATGTCCATGTCCCACGCTGGTTTCCCATTCTCGGAGAATTGTCTTCAGTCTTCAGTCGCCCATTCTTCAGTCGCCGATTGTTCATGGCAATCCCATCCCCCAATGAACACCAAATATTAATGAAAATGAGCCCGGCTTGATGGTCCCAAGAATGCTTTCAAAAATTCCCATAGCTATTCCCATGGTTTCTGGGTGTTAAAAAAAAAAGAGCTATCCCATGACGGATCCTAACGGTGCTGCTATATATGGTGTGCCATGGATCCCATCAATATACCCCCTTTATGTTAGCATTTTTCTACCAGCACCATGGATCCTATGAGTTGTGGAATGACATGACATTCGAAGTAATCCGATTGCAGATGATGCCATCAACAGCTCTCAGCAGCTCCGGCAGGATTTCACCAAGATCTCTACGAGAGGCCCTTTTTTGCAGACGGTCCCCTCGAGTGTCCCTTGGCCTCGCCAGCAAAACTGAGGAAACATACATGAAACAATGGGAAACATATGGAAAACTAGGGAAACATAGTGAAAAATCATCAGCAGGGGAACCATTATTCTTCACAGGATTCGACATGTTGTTTTTTTCCCCATGATTTTATCAACAAAACCGCTGAATGGGACATTTCTTTCGGCAGCCATTTATCGTCTCCACAGAGGGCGTTATGAGATTTCCTGGATTGGGATGATCAACAGTTCACTGAGCCACATTTCCCAAAATCTTCATCACCTGGTGATGGATCTATGGTACAGTGACCTGGTACAGTGACCTGGTACAGCTATGGATGCCGGGTTGAAGAATTGTAGTTTCGCCGCATCCCCAAAAAAGATGACTATGGTGGAATTGGTGGCTCCATCGAGCCGATGGAGGAAATGCCCGGACCTGTGAAATGCGCGAAAGATAATTAGGGTGTATCTCCCCCGAAAGCAACCATTTCATGATATTTCATGCATAGCTTGACCAGACAAAATCGTGTAATCAAGCCTTAAACAATCAACCCATCAATATCACATACTTTAACGGGGTGTCGCCCAGGCCGACGCGTCGAGGCCCGACGTGGCTCGGCCTGGCTTTGAATGATTCCTGGAAGGTTCAGGTCTCATCCAAATGGTCACTGGATGTGAATGGCACTTCTTTGTGCCTTCCAGAGCCTAACATGTGATTTCCACAAGTCAGAAACAGCCTTCAAAGCCATCCGAGATTTTCATAAGATGAGTTCGGGGGATTTTTGTTCCCCAAGAACGGATTGTTCATAGGCACCGCACTAACTTGACTGATAGAACCTTTCCTACAGACCAGGTATAGAAGGGACCCCTCAGCCCTGTGAAGAAAGGGTTGCCATATGTGCCATGGTAATTTCCATGGTCAACATATGTCAACACACGTTTGTCTTCCAGGCATAGTCATCCCCCAATTTTCATACATGTGCTCCATTGAGGCATCTCATTCAGGGCACTGAGTGCATTGTCTTCACAGCGGCAAAAGCAGAAAGTTATTCCGTTACAATCCTCTGCATGCAATATATATATACATATTTATGTATACAATAATCATAATTATGAATATATATGAGCAACCGTAAAAACCCCGGCAATACTAAATATGTATTCGACGGACATTGGCTTATGGAAATTGATGGAAATTGTTAAAAACACTAGGTAAGCGATGGGACCTTCCCAAATTAGCGATACCCCTTTTCAAGGTTATGTCATCATATTTCTCTAATATCCACATTAGCGATACCCAAATATCACATATTATTCATAGTTCATCATATCTATATATATATATATAAATACAGCAGTTTCCTGCAAGCGATACCCCCCAAGTTTACCATATATCACTATTGTACAAACGTGTGGTAAGCGATGGGACCTTCCCAAATTTGTGAATGTCCTTTCCGTGAACCTAAGGTTTTCACAATCGCTCATATATATAATATATCATATATATATATATATACATATACATTATTATATATATATATGCATACGGACGGACTGACAGACTCTTTCCAGACTCTTTGGGAAAAGTCGGTTGATTTCTATTGTAAATTCAGGTTTTTGAGATCCCTCTGGTACGTCCCCCTTAAGGTTGATCATCATTATCCCCATGATGCCACTTTTTGGGGTTTGGTAATGGTCCCCTGTTTAAAGAAACACACCCAGATATCATTGAAATGGTTGGTGATATGCCATAATTATGTATATATATATATAACTAACTTAACTAACTATATCCCATTCTATCCCAATAGCCAAAGTCATGAAAATCGTGGGCAACTGGAATTCCTTGTCAATGATCGCCGCAAAAAAAAGAAGCCTTCTATCCCAATTTTCATGTGGTCGACCAAACCCCCAATATTACCAGGAATGGATGTCAACAATCATCCCCAAATGATACGTTTATATTATTGTTAGCATCATTCCCAGATTTTTTGGTTTATCATTCATATACTAATCGTAACAATCATCCTAATCCCTACCTTCCCGTTGATCCTGGTTTATCATAATTTTCCCTTTAAACAAAAAGCAATCAGTGAACAATCACAAAATCCACTACACTGTCATGTTCCCTTCAATATTTGCTATAAATTTCCCTCCGGTTATTAAAACATAGCTACGGAACATGTCCCATTTAGCTCGAAAATTTTTGATGATTCACCTGGCGTTAAAATGGTGATTTTCCAGTTTGCTTCGTTAGATCAACAGAGGAATGAACTCTTGGCCATTTTGGGGTGATACTTATTAAACGTTTTATTTTATGTATATATATATATATATACCCCACTGGTGGCAGGTCTACTCATTACCCTCGGTAGTGAAAAACTCTGGTAAGTCTTATGGTAAACCCTCTGGTAAATGCCCAAATTCACCCAATAAATCCTCACTAAATCTCCAACCAATTCCAAACAAATCCTAATGTTGGTGAAATCTCAAGTAAATCCCATATCCCATTGAATCCTTATTGTTGATGGTTAAGATACCACTGTAGATCCCATGGAACCTCAAAATCCCCAGTAAATCCCCAGTAAATCACCAAAAAATCATCTAAAATCCCTATGTAAATCTCCAAATCCCCATGAAATCCCCTTAAATTCATTGGGTCAATCTATGGATCTCAGGTGTCTGCCTGGACGACGACCTAGACTCGCTGCAGCCGCCGAGAGAGGAGGTTGTGGGATGTTCAACCTTGGGGAAACCCTGAAATCCAAGGAAAATCCATGGAAAATGCATCACAACTGAGGGCAAACTCTGCAGTATGATTCCAATGCTGAAGTCAGACAGTTCGCATCTTTGGGTCACCTGTCACTCCTATGGGGGCCTGGTTCAAACACTGGAAATCCCTAAACTTCAATTGCTAGGACTTTGGTGGCAACCATTTCAGCATATTTCAGCTGCGCCACATGTGGCCGCGCCGATGTCAGGCAATTCTAAGTGACGTCGTCGTAGATTCTCCAGGCGGGTTTTTCCTGAATGGAATCCAATGGTGAGAACTCGCAGAACGTGACGACTTTTCGCCAAGGCCAAAATAGAAACCATGGCCATTGGAATGTGGATACCCAATAGCTGGATGGTTTATAAGGGAAAATCAATCTATAAATGGATGATGACTGGGGGTACCACTATTTAAAGAAACCCCAATGTTAAGCTGCGCATGTTGCAGAACGTGACAATCCTAAGATGTTGGATGAAAGGGTGTCGGTCAGTTTCACTCGGCTTGGTGCAACATATTTAATGAAGCTTGGTGCAATAGTAGCGACATGATTAATACTGATATGGCTAAACTTGATCATATTGCAATATATATATATTAAGATAGTTTAAGATACTACAATATACTATAGTCTGCAAGCCTTGGATATAGATCTCAACTACTATCTAGGATGTCTCAGATTATTTAAATGAAATCACCCCTTTTCAGGAGGTATTTAGGGGCTTGTGCTTTCTTTGTGGTTTGCCTCTTCACTTTTCTCACCACTGATCGGCAGTTGACGTGTGCCCATTTTTGCACCTCATGTACT